GAGGAACCCAGTTATCTCCCACATCGAATATCAGTGAATTTTCTCCAACATTAGAAGATAACCAGAAATATTTCAAATTTTTTAGGTGCAGAAAATGAATCGTTGATACAACCCTTCCCCAGTTATTATCATCAAGATATAAATAAGTCAAGTCTTTCAGTTGTCCAATAGTTTCAGGAATTGTTCCATTAAATTTGTTGGAAAAAAATGGATAATCCCTTCAAGGATGATAGGTTTCCAATAGAAACTGGAAATGGACCTGAAAAGGAATTCTGATGAAGGAAAAGATACTTCATGTTCTTAAGATTTCCCAAAGATGGAGGTATCTGCCCATCAAAGTCGTTGTAAGATAAATCCAACTCTTCCAAACTATTGTTGCAGTATTTTGACAAACCCTCCACTAGTTTGACTATTTCTCCAGTCATAATTCGATTTCTAGAGAGAACTAAAGCTTGCAAGTTGCAGGGATTATTTTTCCAGGCATCGATATTGGTTAAAGAGCCCCTAATTTCATTGTCTGACAAACGAAGCTTAACAAGGGTGCTAATATTGAACAACCAGTTAGGTAATGATGAATTGATATCATTACCGTGAAGATTGATGAGCATAATGGAACTGAAGTTCAGGACTGAAAGAGAGGGAGGGAGGTTTCGGAGATTGCAGTAGGGCAAATGCAACTCTACCAAGGAAGGGAGCATGTTTAAATTTTGCAACCAATTGGTTGATGTTGAACTGAGGTCTATCTCCCCTAGATTAAGGTGTTTCAATAAAGAGAGACTAGAGATCCAATTCAAATCAGAAACCCAAATATGTTGGAAAGTCCCTCCCATTAAAATAGAGTTTGTGGAGAGATCAAGGTATTGCAAGTTTGACAAATTTCCAAGATGAGGAGGAACCAATCCAGAAAAAGATGCATAAGAGAGATTAAGGTAATGCAAATGGGTGAATGAACCAATAAAGTTTGGGATTGGAGTTTGTTCGAAATTATTCGAACTCAGGTCCAAGTAGTTTAAATATTTCAAGCCTAGCAATGAAGGATTTATCTCACCTTGCAAGGATGATAATTCAAAAGCTGTTGGATCTCTTGTGAGAAATTGATTTCCATATGGGTTCCTCAGATCAAGCTCTGTGACATGTCCTGTTTGCGGATCGCAACCTATACCATGCCATGCACAGCAGTTATCGCCGACCCAGGAAGAAAGCCGACCTGAAGGATCTTTGAGACCTTCTTTGAACTTGAGAAGTGCATTTTTCTCGGTCTTCCTGCAAGCTAACGTGAGGTTGGTTGAATGAGAACTAAAATCACTTGCTTGGAGGGAAAGAAATTGAAGAGAAAATAAGTGAACGAGAAAGAGAAGAACAAAGTGCCTGAAAATGGAAGTGATCATGATGGGAATATTGTGGTTGAACACAACAGGAGGCTCTGCTTATATTCTATTGCCAAGAGACAAATCAGCAGCAAATTCTCCTTAATAGTCGAGACTCCCCAAACCCACCCAAAAATAGAAAGAAAAAAAAAAAAAAAAAGACTTTTCATGAGATACCATGACTAGAGGACTTGGATAATGGAGTTCTCCCCAATAAAGCGGCGGCAGACCAAAGTTACGCAGGCAAGCCCGATGAAATTGGATTGGAGTTTCCTTACATACAAAATTTTTAAATTTTTAAATTTTTTTATTTTTTCCATTTTGAATACATTTATGTAGGACTTATAACCACATGGGTTGGTCCTATCTCAATTATTTATCATGTTAAATTAATTTGCATTGCACAAGATCAAGTTCATGTTTTTCTCTCTCTTTGCCCATAAGCAGAGCGGGTTTGCGTTACTGTAAAATTTCTAGCAAATTATTTAAACTGGCATAAAATTAGTTAAAATGGCATGGATGATGTGCTATTGACTCAATCGTTACTATGCTAAAAAAGAGTATGGAGAACGTTAACTGCCTTATGTTTTCTTTGATCTGTTTTTGAATATTAGGTGATTTTCTCAAAGGATATGCTTGCCTCTAAATCCTTAGTTGCTAAAGTGTCCTTTACAACTTAATTAGAGCTATGTCATGGATTGAAAAAACTTTGTTGACGAGCATAGAAGTCATTAATTTGGCTACGAGAGGGAGCTTGTAATTCCCAACCAGAACAATGTTATTCAAAAGAAATCAGCTATGCTTAATGTATGCAAATCATGTGCTATGTAGATGGACTTCCTGGAAGAAGAACCAACCTGGGGAGCTTGTTGTGCCCTTACCGTTCCGGATCATGAACTGGGTTTGGAGCTTCAAATGGGAGAGGAAGCAATTATTCGAGAGTTGGGTATGATTCTGCCTCTAGTTTTGTAGACTCTTGAGTCGGAATAGGTGTGCCTGTTATTGAGCTTTCGAAGTATAATTGAAGATATTAAATGGATTTCGTCACATTCGTTATCTGTTT